CAATTCCAATATATCTTTTTTGAGATGGGGTGGTCATATCTGCATGCGGTATTCAAGATGTGGGCGTATTAGGGATTTATATAGAGGCAATATGATATGTTCTGTCTTATTATCTAGACCTTTTTTAATGATTCCCAACATTCTGTTCGCTTTTTTGACTGCCGCTGCACACTGAGTGGATGTTTTCAGAGAACTATCCACAATGACTCCAAGATCTCTTTCTTGAGTGGTAACAGCTAATTTAGACCCCATCATTTTAGATGTATAGTTGGGATTATGTTTTCCAATGTGCATTACTTTGCATTTATCAACATTAAATTTCATCCACCACTTTGTTGCCCAGTCACCCAGTTTTGTGAGATCCTTTTGTAGTTCTTCGTTGTCTGCATGAGACTTAACTATCTTGAGTAGTTTGGATTCATCTGCAAGTTTTGCCACCTCACTGTTTGCCCCTTTCTCCAGATGATCATTTATGAATATATTGAATAGGACTGGACCCCATACAGACCCCGGGGGGACACCACTATTTATACCTCTCTCCATTCTGAAAACTGACCATTTATTCCTACCCTTTGTTTCCTATCTTTTAACCAGTTACCAATCCATGAGAGGACTTTCCCTCTTATCCCATGACAACTTACTTTGCTTAAGAGCCTTTGGTGAGGGACCTTGTCAAAGGCCTTCTGAAAATCTAAGTACACTATATCCACTGGATCCCCCTTTTCCACATGCTTGTTGACGCCCCCAAAGAATTCTAATAGATTGGTGAGGCATGATTTCCCTTTAGAAAAACCATGTTGACTCTACCCCAACAAATTATGTTCATCTATGTGTCTGAGAATTTTGTGCTTTACTGTAGTTTCAACCAGTCTGCCCAGTACTGAAGTCTGGCTTACCGTCCTGTAATGCTGGGATCACCTCTGGAGCCCTTTTTAAAAATTGGCGTCACATTAGCTATCTTCCAGTCATTTGGTACAGAAGCTGATTTAAATGATAGGTTACAGTCTACAGTTGGTAGTTCTGCAATTTCACATTTGAGTTCCTTCAGAATTCTTGGGTGAATATCATCTAGTCACTTATCACTGTTTAGTTTATTAATTTGCTCCACAACCTACTCTAATGACACCTCAATCTGGGAGAGTTCCTCAGAGTTGTCACCTAAAAAGAATGGCTCAGTTTTGGGAATCTCCCTCCCATCCTCAGCCATGAAGACTGATGCAAAGAATTCATTTAGTTTCTCCACAATGGCCTTATTGTCCTCGGGTGCTCCTTTAGCATCTCGAATGTCCAGTGGCCCCACTGGTTGTTTAGAAGGATTCCTGCTTCTGATGTACTTATTTTTTTTGCAATAACTTTTTGAGTCTGTGGCTAGCTGTTCTTTTATGGTCTTCCTAATCATATTTTTACACTTCCTCTCAGGCCTATGGCTTTCGTATGCTTTTGTATTGGCAGAGTAGCCTACAAAACTTTTGCAGTCTTCTCTGCAGCACAGTTTAACAGTCTTCACAATGAGCAACTAAACTGAATGCAATGAAGTCACCTGACATATTCTTTCCTAGTCTCTTCTTTGGCATCTCTGCAGTAAACTCTTGCCCAGCTGACTTGATTCAGAAATTTGCCAGAAAGAATGGCTTACGAGTTTAAGATTCAAATTTGAAATCCAATACTCCACAGAACCACAGATTACAATCCTGGCAGGACCAACAAAGCTTTTTATCCTTCTGGGTTAGAAAACTACCATTCATAGGAAAGGGGTCTTTCAGAAGACACATTTGCAGATGGGACAAAAATTAAAATTGACAGAGAATCTTTAGTAAGAGTAGGGGTTTACCCTAGTATCTCTGCCCCAAATTTCTTCTCTTCCCTTCTCCAAACTGTTTTGCAGTCTGCTATGTGTTGGCTAGTTGCTAGTCTCAACCTTGGCAGTTTAATTTAGGGGATCTCTATAGTATGCACATAATTTGTGAAGTCCTTTGGGATGAAAGCAGCAATATAAAAGTAAACATTACTCCATTGTTTTTACGCTTTACTGGGGACATGGAAATCATTGCTGTCAAGTGATTTAATATCAGGATGTAGAGCAATGAGTTTTCATGTGGACTTGTAAAGCCAAGAGCTAACCTCTACTCTTTTTTCTAAAGAGTTTTAAACCAAGCTATTACAATTTATTATTTGTAATTCAGTGGCAACTAGAGACCCCAATCAGATTTGGTGCCTGCTCATAGTAGGTGCTCTATAGAGAATAGAAAAGTAGCTCCTGCTCTGAAGAGTTCGCAGTCTGAGCTACTCAAATATTATTATTCCTCTTGTGCTTTCTGAACAGCCTGACCACACAACGCCTATGAAATACAAAACTAAATCCCATGATTTGTGGTGCTACACCAGCCTCATTTGTCTTGGAAGCAGAAAAGAGACAACACATTTTTAAGTTTGTATGTAAAAAGGCTGTTCTGTCTCTTGAACTTTTCTGTCTCTGCTGGAATGATAATACTTCCCAGTACTGACAAAGGACTGGTGTTAAAATACTATTGTAATCCCCACCACATCCTGGACTGCCTTGCTCAGCAAAACATCTAGGTCACCACATTTAACGTGACAAACTGCAGCTGGCATATAACTAAAATCACTTGTATGTACAAATCTATTACGAGTAAGAATTACCAAGATTAGTTTGCGCCTATTGTTTTTACTCAACACAGCAGTAATACAAATAAATAATTGATTACAAGTCAATGTCTAGATGAGAAATACTTTGCTTTAAACCTCATCAGTGAGTTCATTTGTCAAATTATTATTATTGGGCCCATAATCTGGGTCACTGCCCAGGGTACTGACCGGGCCTGGTAGTATACACTCTAATACACGGCCAAAAACTGGGTTACTGGAGGGAAATGAACAGGAACAGCACATCAGATAAAAAATTCTTTTAATAAAAATGCAAAGAACTGATTTATTGGATGTTGCCCCCCCACCCCACCAATCATATAGAGAATGAGTCCTGCCAGTAGGAAACCAGGAATATATTCAAATAAGAACAAGAACATTCTTAGGCTAAAGGCCTGAACTGCTAGCAGGAGACATACATCCAGCAGACAGACAGAAGAGACAGCTAGCCCTTTGTCAGTCACATCAGCTCAGGATTCAGACATGTAGATAAATTTATTCTTTAAGGGCCTGATACAACTCTCAGTGAATTGGAATTCAATGAAAATACTCCCACTGACTTCAATAGGAGATAGATAAAACCTCAAATTATTCCTTCTGGCTAGGTGATACCCTGTGGAATTAGTCTGAGAGCTGGACACATGTGTGGAACTGTCCAGAGAAACCCCATTTCACCCAGAATCATGTGCATGGAGGACATTTGACAGCTTTCTTCTGATTATAAGAGAATTAGGGCTGCAGGGTGGGAAAGTCATCTTTGTGAATTTCTGTAGTGTTCACTTTGAGTAACAGCTTGCATCTATGAGGAGAAATCAGGAGGGAATTAGCTGGAGAAATGCCATTTTACATTGATAGAGGGCTTTATTTACAGTTTTGCTTGAACAACCATTTCTGGGATTCAGAGAGTAGTAGATACAGTTCTTCCAATAAATGACAGAATATTTTTGGGAAGATAAAGTCATTATTGTAGAAGACTGAAAAGCAACCATGTGAAATGCCTTTTAGCAAAAGCAGAAAAATTTGTCACATCACATCACTGGAAAAAAGAAACCAGATACTGTGTTTCATCTTTTATCACTTAGTTAACCTGAAATCTAATCTGTTCATAAGAAATATCTGGAAAGGCTGGAAAACATTCAGTTCACTTTCTCACTTCTTTAAAACTCAAACGAAGAAATGCCTTACAGAATTTTCTCCCCTTATGTTTTCTTGGCACCACTTTATAATAGGCACTCACTCATTTCTAATTCCTGTGGCCTTTGCTGAAATGACATTAATCATTACAAACTCTGAGGCCCTATTCACATTGAATAGCCAAACCATGTTTCAGAATTGTATTCTCACTCTAAAATCATAAGAAGATAGGGTAATGTTTATATCTTCAAGCATGGTTGTAACTCAGTCTGGCCCTATCCACACTGGCCAACCAATCCGTTCATTGAGCTACCGTTTCCAAACTGAGTTCCAAGCAGAGCATGGATGGGGTCCTTACCATGCAGATGGCACACGTAATTCCCTGGGAACTCTGCTATCTCCCTGCTAACAGCTTTGAAATAGAGCTGTCACTTTGCAGTGGAATACAGGACCAATCTAGGACACCACCCACATAGTGATCAGGGCCACTCCCTCCTGTGATCTTTGAGGACTACTTTTTCCTCTTCCAATTGTATTTTGGGGACTCATCTCAGTCCCTCTTTTTCACTTACAACAGCTCTGCATGGGTTACTGAAGCCCCAGAGCCTACTGCAGTGAACTTCACAGGCCCAGTGAGAGGCTAGGGATGAAGATCTGCTTGGTGGTGGAAAGAGATGGTGAGAGGAAATATTTAAATGATCATTTGCATGAGCCCTCTCTACACCCGTCCAGATCACACAAGGATCAGTTGAGTCAGTGCAAACTGGGCATATAAAAGTGTGTTTCGTGCTGCTGTGTAGAGCAGGACCAAGATTTAGGGAGTTTTAAAATTGATCTTAACGGGAGCAGAGTTAATCTAGTGTCAAGTATTTTTGCAAATCCCGCCCATACACTGAAGAACTGCTTTCAGTAAACACAATAGCCAAGAGGCTTTTTAAATTGTATATAGGGTTTGTGTAAAACGTCTGTTAATCAAAACTTTTATTTGTCTTTTTATTTCTCCTTTTATATTATTCCTTTGATTTTTAAACTCATCGCTGCTCATGATGGAGAATAATGTAGATGGATCCAAGACATATCACTGTAATGTAATTTGAAAACCTGGAGATTTCTTTATTGCATTAAGTAGACATTAACAGATAGCAAATGAAAAAGAAAAGGGTGAGATTTTATTTTTAAAAAGGTCTTAAAATTATACTCACTGCTTGTAGAGGACATGCGGCTGTACTCAGATCTGCAAGACAAAAATCTTAATTCAGCGGGGCTGTACTATGTTTAAATCTTTAAAGATCATACACAAATTTGGCAAAGGAAACTACTGACTTAATTTAATTTGCTTTAAACCAGTTGTTCTTAATCTTTACTGCAGCCTGCATCCCTTTGGTTCTCAAAATATGTTCTTGCACTCCTTCTCAAAAATCGTTGAAGTAGGTCAGTTCTTTAAACCTAGGTATTTTCTTTGTTTGTATATTACAGTAATTGTTAAAAAATTTATAATGTTAATAAATACATAGGTTTGATGAAACAAAGTAGTTGTACTTACGTGCCTGTGCTTAATTTGTGTTTTTGATGATTTACCTTTACAAAAATCTGACATGTCTTGCCCCTCGAGAAAGGGCATCTGGCACCCCCAAGGGGTGCGTGCACCCCAGGTTAAGAACCACTGCTTTAAACCGTCAAACTGCTTAAAACCTACACACAGTTATTTTTATAGTAAAATAGCTCACTATGGAAATTATTCTGAATGTGCCCTCAGGGTAGCGGACATTCTGCAGGAATGTTAAAAATATCCATAGAGACTACACATCTACGGAAGAAACTCTTTTTGAGGCTGTAACTAGTTTTCCAATACTGCTGGATTTTGACTCTCCTCCCCATCCAATGTCTAATATCTCCAAAAATGCTTTGCACCTGAAATTTCTAATGTGCATTCTGTAGACAGAGGAGAAATTGAATTGTCCTTTGCACAAAGTTTGAAGGAAACCATAAAATTGATCTTAGAGATGTGATTAATTGAAGAATGAGGTTTTTACCTTTTGGAGAAGCCTTTCTGTTTCTTTTTTTCCTTCTTTATGTCATATCTCAGAGACTCAATCTAGAAGTTCCTCATTAGTTTTATTCAATTTATTGTCCACAACAAGAACTAGTGCTGTTCAGTATTTTGAAGAAGGCTAGGTAGTTAATTTTGCAGCTGTTCACTATATAATTCTGAACCTTTGAAAATTGTATTCATTCCTGAAGGAGCTAATAAACTTTTACGGTTACCAACTAATCTGAGATTTCATTTTACAAATCAAAATATAAGCCCTTTTTATTGTGAGCTGGGGCTGAAAGTTTGTCAAAAGAGATTTTTAATAGAAATCGCAGGTTATTCACAATGTGTTGACACCTCTCAATTTTGTGATATTTTATGCTTTTCTTAAAGCTCCAGATTTTGGAGGCAAGAGAGTATATGAGACTCTCAGCTTTATTTTTCAAAATAAGTAAATTCCTAGCCCTCATGTTTGCAGAGAAAAAGCTTTAAAAAAGTGAATCAAAAGACATATGACAAGCATTGATAACTTGCTCACGGAATAAACAAAAAACCCTCAAAACAGTATGTTGCTGTCTTTTTCTAATAATGAAAGCTAGCTGGAGTACTGGAGTTCTGGAGCTCTTGCAAATATTTTAAGCATTCTAGGTACTATACAAAATGAACAATCACTTTGACAGGTCTTAAATTTAAACAAGTTAAATATAGAAGTAAAAATATCCTAAGTCATTTAGCCTCTGCTTCCTAGAATGTCGTTTTGTTCCTGCTAGTTCATGTTCTGATGCTGTTCTCGTCCACATTTTAAATGTTCCAAGTAACGGAGCTTCTACCAATTTCCTCAGGAAAGTGTTCCGTGGTCTGTGTTCTGAACATAGATTGGGGGAGGGATTCAAGAAGCGACTAGTGGAGCAGTAGCAGCTGTTATAGGGCTTTATCCTATGTTCATTGAAGTCAGTAGCAAAGCTATCATTGACTTTAATAGTGAAGTATCAGGGCCACAGTCTTGGGCAGTACCAGGGACAGAGGCAGGGCTCTGTAGCAGTATTACTTCTGCATTTTTTAAATGAAGGATGTTACCTTTTAAAGGTGAAATGGAAGGGGAAATTCAGGCAAGAATGGGTAAGGAGGATGCATCTCTTATACAGAATCATTTTCAGACCCTCAAGGTATCTTAGGGGGAGGTAGTGGAGTAACAAAGGCTCTGAAGCAAGGTGTGGTATGAGCATGTGTGAGTGTGAAGGGTTGTTCCACTCGCTGTCCAGTCATTGTTTCTATTTCTAGGTTTAACAGCCCCTCCTCCCTCCCATGTCTAAAAAGTCTCCTTCTCCAGGGCTTCTTTATACCAGGAAAAAAGTTATAGAAGAGCCGACAGCCCACCTGCTGCTTGCTTTCTTTGCTTGCCCAGCACTGGCATGATAACACCTATTGTACTGAGATTTTTCCCTACCCCTTTTACCTAGGAACTATTCTTTCACATCACAGTTATGCCTAAAAGACTTCTTTTCTTCCTTAAATAGGCACTGTCAAGGCTGCTTCCCCACTTTGAACTTTAGGGTACAAATGTAGGGGCCTGCATGAAAACTTCTAAGCTTAACTACCAGCTTAGATCTGGTCCGCTGCCACCACTCTCAAAATGCTAATTCCCTTCCCTGAGTAGCCTTGA